GGCGACATCGATTTGATTTGCAATGTCGAACAGGCGTATATAGGTCGCATAGCCATGATATTTTGTCTTTAAGAGAAAGCCAACATGTATCAACGGATCCTTCTGTTGGTAGTGTCCAATCCATCGAATTTGCCGCAATTTATAACGCATCAAAGTCTGTTTTCCAAACAGACTCGCGGTGGAGTGTGATGATGTGGAAGCCTAAGACATGTAAACAATGTAATATGATCACTAGCGCCCAGTGGTTCAGAAACTGATAAATAATCCAATCTTTGCTCGGCTTGAGGAAATAGTAAATCAGAAACCCACTGCCGCAGATCATCTCGTTTCGGTAAAAGGCTGCGTACGTTCATAAAAGCTACACGCAAGCCAGCGAATGACTCTGGCTGCGCGCTGTTAAGGTGACCGGGCTGTTTATGAATGCACGCCATTTGACTATTCGAAAATTTACGATACGTAGATCATTTTCACCTTCAAGAGTGCGCCTTCGAAGTTCCACGACAGCGGCTTTGAGCTGAGCTCGCTGAGATGGATCCATATCTGGTCTGATGTAAATATCCATACCTTTAAGTCTCCATGCGCGAGAAAGTAAGCGCTTGGGAGCGTCTGCATTTTCGAATACAATTTTTAGCGGTCGGTGGATGCCCGCAACTCGTTTTCCTAATCGTAAAATTCGTCGAACTCGAATTCCTGGTTCATCAGCATCGGCTAGTTTATCAACAAGTTCCTGGAGCAGATTCAAATCATGGTTGTATCTAGCCTGTGCGACTTCTTCGCCAGATTCTTTCGATCCAAACAACATCAAACAATGATCGCGTCGAAACTCGAGTGTTTCCCGGTTTCCTGGAACAGTTGGCTGGATCGCGCTTGCGGAGCTGACAGGTAGGCTTTCAACGACCTCATGGTTACGAGATGGCGGCCGGGTTTTCATACGGTGTCTCTGTTTCGTTAATAACCAAGGTGACTGCGTATTCTATTCATCAGTACAATCGGATGACCTCAAGGGGGCATTAAGATTGACTGAATGTTCCGCAGAGTTGACATCTGGAACGTTCCGAACAAGACTGTCTTGCTGGTCGCTAGAAGGCGCTGGTGCAGACCGCTTCAGTTTCTTCGGTTTCTGTTTTTTCCTTAAAGGTGATGTGGAGATAGATTTGCATCTAGTACACGTAAATGATAAGTTATCACTGGGATGAGCCAAGAGAGCATCATAGATAGACGAGTGAATGTAGGAACACTCTATGTGCTCCCAGGTTGCACAAATACCACATTTCAAAGCTTTGTCGGAATCCGAAACGGCTAGATCACAATTTGAGCACAAGGATGACACATCACACATGGTATACATAATATTTGACGACATTTATATGATATGCATGCCGTGTGTTGTCTATCAGAGTTTGTGGCAGAAGCAGTCTTAAATTTGATACTCGTCCACCTGTAGACCCTTACGATGGTTCAAAATGTGCTATTTTGCGAGAGCTACGGCAAATGCAGCTGCTAACTCACTGCGACAACCAGAAAATGTAAGATAACAAAAGCCCTGCAGGGCGACGTGCAACCACGTGAAAACTACGCAGCTAATAAAATGACTTTGATGAAGACCACCTTTGAATGCGTAAAGTATTCGGTCACTAACTATCGTTTCGCACTCTCCATCCGTGGAGAAGGGTGCTGATGGCTACTATGCTTTGTTGTTAAGTCATTGGTTGACCGCCCTGGATCGTCTCCATTCAACACGAGGCTGAGAGACGAACTCGCTATGAAGCAAACTGTCCTCGTACAAACGAAGTATACGACTTAATCGGCGTACCAAGAGGAGTGTGACTAGCTGATCTGTCGAAGATCTTCGCTGGAAACCATCTGGCGTACCTCAGATCGGTACTGATCATAGATCGATCTATGGGTTGCCAACGGGCCCACGCAACGTTACGAAGACACTGATTCTCGAGTGCTTTCTCACGAAGGAATCAGTGGGTTACAAATCATTAGTAGCAGGTCTTTTATGAGACCGGGTTCGGACGACATGACAACCCAAATTACGGAGATTCAAGATCACTAGCTATCCGTGGAAATAGACCCCCGACAAAAAATTATTCGGGGCATCAACCAATCACAATTCAGGTACTCACGGAATCACGGATTGATACACAAGATCGAGACTTTCGCCCAAATTTCACCGGTCCGTTTTGTCCTTATCGTTCGGCGGCTGTCGTTCACCCGAAAGGCACAAGTTGAAAAAGAATGTTGCACAGCTTCTTGAATTCTCAGCGCGGAGCAGTATGCTTCCCACCGCGATGTTTCGCAAAAACACATGTCTAATTGTGCTTTCAACTGCGATCTATCAAGAATTCACGGATTCACGGATTCACGGATTGATACACAGGATCGAGGCTTTTGCCCAAGTTTCCCGGGTCGGTTTTGTTCTTGTCGGTCAGTGGCTGTCGTTCACCTGAAAGGCACAAGTGAAAAAAGGGTGTAGCACTGCTCTTTATGTTCTCAGCGCGGGGCAGTATGCTCGCCAGCGCGAGGATTCGCATAAATAAATGTCTAATATTGCTTTAAATTGGGTTCGAGAAGGAGCGTGTACAACCGTCGGAGGAAGGTCATTCCACGCAGCTACTACTCGGAATGAGAAAAAAATTGCTTAGTGACCCAACAGTGGCATCTGAGGTTTACAGAGAACACTATGCGTGTCTGTACTCAGCCACAGCGTCCTCGTCACATCCAATCTTGTCAAGACGTAACTACGAACAGCCTCTAACCGACTTGCTCTTCACGGTGGAGGACATTCGTCAACTCTTGCACAAGATCAATTCATTCTGCGCGTTGGAGCCCGACGAGGTCCATCCAAGGATCCTGAAAGAAACATCCTCCACACTGACAAATCACCTACACCCTGTGTTTCGTAAGTCACTTGACGAAGGCCGCCATCCCCTGCTTGGAAGGAAGCGATTAGTACGCCAATCTGCAAAGCAGTTGACCGACTGTCGCCTGGCAGCAATAGGCCTATAAGCCTCATTAGCGTGCCGTCCAAGGTGATGGAACGCATTCTGAAGCGAGCTATCCACCTTACTTCCAGCAATGTGATATCTCAGCTCAACACGGATTTCTCCCAAACCGTTCGTGTGTGAAAAGCATACTCGTATTTATGGACTGTATAGCCCAGGCCAAGGACGCAGGACTCATATCGCATGCCATAATTTCCGACTTATCAAAGGCAGTTGATAGGGTCCCACACGTCCCGCTGCTCCACCAACTCGAGTCTTACGGGATTCAAGGGAAAATCCTTCGCTAGATCAAGGCGTTTCTTTCAGACAGACCGTTCCGTGTGAGAATAAGCTCGACCTACTCTTCTCCAGTGTCGGTCTCCATTGCAGTTCCTCAGGGCTCCGTCCTGGGACCACTCCTGTTTCTGATCTACGTCAACGACCTCCCAGATGTTCTTGCAAGTCCATGTCTACTTTTCGCGAACGACTTGAAATCCAGTGCCCTCCAAATGGATGCAGGTGCTGCAGAGTAGTGGTCGTTGGACTGGCACCTTCCTCTGAGTGAGGAGAAGTGCGTCCATATGTCATTCGCAGAAACTCAGCGGATGACTTTGTTATGCATGGTGGGAAGGGACCTGGAGACATCATGAGGATAGATGCTGAAAATG